TCCAAGTCATTTCTCTACAACTCTCTCTGGGTACTCTCTCAGCCCGTGTTGCTGTTAGAGATTTCCTGGAAGCATCGGTGCTTCCAGCCACCTCGATGCATTGCGACTTGGCATTCATAGTAACTCTCTTGCTAGCTACGGAGCTAACCGCATAAAAAAGGTAATCTGTCAACTCGGGTTGACAAACTCTCACAACAATAAACGGTCATTTATATTATATTAATACTAATCCCCCTTGGTTTTATTTATCTTTTTATTTCTATACGGTCACGATTTGTATGCCTGAGAGAACATCAACGTCTCATACGGAGGGAAACAGATTTATTTAATAACTTTTTTTACGATTTCTTTGAAATATAATTTTTCAAGGATCAAATATAATCCTGATACTTCCACCGTTGATAAGATTTTTTTTCATTTTTAATTGCAAAAAACCCCATCTTTTAAACATTTTCTTTTCTACCGGTGAATTAATCATATTCTATTACATAAACCTTATTATCCCATGTAGGCCTAGTTAGTTGCTTTGAATTACTTAATTAATGTTGACAAATTTATGAAACCCATATTTTCACAAGAATCGTTCACACATAACTAATATGTTACAACTTTGATCACACACAAATCAAAAGACTTAAGACACAAACATGAATTGCAAAAAACAGACTATTCCCACCCTCGTTTGGAGGCAAAAGGCAAAAAATGCAACATCATTCCCAAACAAACATGTATGCTAACAATAGCTACCCACGTAATAACATTTTGAATTACATTTACCATGTCATGTATTCCAACAAAATAAACATAATTAAAACACATGTCTAACTAAATTAAAACTACCAACCAACCAACCGCCAAAAGCTACTGTGTGGAGTGATGCCCCCGACACATACACTGCAATCACACACATGTTAAAGAGTAAACAAAGAAACAACACAACACTGAAACACCACATCAACTGTTATAATTAAAATGACAGCAGCCAGAGAAACAATAACAGTCATATGTTTCAAGATACGATGCCCATGAGAGACACAACATTTCATTTGTTGTCTTGGTCATGAGTCCATGAATCAACAAAAACATCACTCAGAAGTCAAGTGAAACCATTGAAAGATCATCGAAACGATTTGAGCCAATTTACGGCGAAATTGAGTTGAAGTCGAAGAAATGAAAACATACTCAAAATAAAGCGTTCGCATCAACTTGCCAATGTGCGCTATCAAATCGGTGAATTTTGAGAGGGGAAGTATGATAAGATATGACAAGGCAATAAATTGAGAAGCTTTGACATAGTTTTACGGATAATGAGATTTTGGCTATTCACCTGCCCTTATTGTGGTATCAATAAGCGATAGCAAATTGTCAATACCTTAAAATTTTCCATCGAGCATAATTAATTAATACATAATTAATTAATACATAATTTGATGGAAAATTTTGGGGCAAATTATTATGACACATCCAAAAGCGTTTTTAATATCAGCATACATTATTGATATAATAAAATAAAATCAAAAAAGCAACTGAAAATTGTCTAGACTAGATCTTTTAAAGACTACAAAAATATATTCTTAAAAATGTAGGCTTATAGGATAGGATAAAAGATTACATTATCAAAATGTAGGACTAGAGCTTTCAATGGACTTTAAAAGATTTGTTTTAATTCAAAAGAAGTTAATAGAAGCCATTTTTTTACCATGAACCATTTTTACCATGAACCAATACACGCCACGCGAGCGCTCTGAAATTTACATTCAACAGAAGAAGTTAATTGTGAAAACTCAACGTGCTTTTAAAACATTAAAAAATATGAGAAGTGTGTCTTCTAAGAACACCATTAAGCGTTTATACGAAAAATTTTCGACTGATAACGCTCTTTCTAATCCGAAGAGGCCATATAAAAGTCGACCAAGGCGATCAGCCGAGAATATCGCTACCGTACGAGCCAGTGTTGAGAGGTCCCCAAGAACATCCCAAAAACGCCGTTCTAAGCAGTTGGGCATGGCTCGCTCCACTTTACAACGGATTATTCGCATTGATTTGCATTTGTTCCCGTACAAAATTCAATTGACGCAAAGAATGTTGCCTGCGGACAAGCCTTGATTTCTTTGATTTAAAAAAAAACATGGGCAACCCTGTATACTATTTTAAAGATTTTTAAAATAGTAATAAAATCTTAGAACTCTAGAAATATTAGCCGTAAACAAGCTCTGATCGAGTTCCTAGACACCTAGAAAATAAAATAATCGAAATAAACACTTGATCGAACATCAATCAATGCTCGGCACATGCAAAAAATATAAATAAAGAGAAGAGCTTGTATATACTATCAGAAAATACCAGGAATACATTCTTAAGAATCTATAACAATCTTGAACTTTTAGAGAGCTTAAAAGATAAACTTAAAACAATTTATCATTAGAGCTGTTAGATACCTTGATATTTTTAAAATGTTGTTGAAACATCCCGATTTCGTGAAAAATGTTATTAAATAACCAAAAATGTAGATATCTTAAAAATATGCTCAAAATTCCACTATCAAAACTTTTTGGAATCTTGAAAATATTCTGAAAATCCACGATTGAAGCCCTCTGATAACATTAAATGCTCTTTGATAACATTTCCAATCAAAAATTTAACCTTCTGTGGGGAGGTGCCAGAAGGGTTGGGCCGTTAGCAATCATCTTCACACTAGATCTTTCTTAGCAGAAATATTGTAATGTATGAAGTTTAAAAATATTCGGGTGCTTTGGGTTATTCAAAATGTTGACCCGTTTTGAGGGATTTATTAGAAGGAGTGGTCCAATATATAACTTCACGCCAGAATTTCTGGTAATAGTAGTATTGAGATGTGACAAGTTTGAAACGATTCGTCATATCATATTACATTTAATGAGCTTAATGATTATTCAAAATGTTGAGCCGTAGTGGGGGAGGTACCATAATGAGAGGTCTGATAAATTCCATGTTCATAGCAGATCTTGTGTTATTTACAACATTGGGAAGTGTGTTATTTGAAGATAGCCGTATGCCTATTTCCAATTTTATATATTATAATTATTCAAAATGTTGATCAGGTGTGGGAAGGTGTTCAAAGGAGTGGTCTGATATATGCCGACTTTGCATAAGATATATGTATTGAGATGTGCAAAATTTGAAAGTAGTCGGATGATCATTTTACATTTTATGGGCTTCGTGGTTATTTCAAACATAGACCCGTTTTGGGGAGGTATCAGAAGGAGTTCCTTCTATCGGTTCTTCCTACCAAATATTGTGTTAATACAGGTATTGGGATTTGCCGAATTTGAAAGGAACTGAAAACCTTGACCTTTTTTAGGGGGGGTGAACAGAAGGAGAGTACTAATATTGCCTATCTCGGAAATTGGTCTAAGTTAGAGAATAATATTATGATGTAGCAAATTTGTACCTAATCTGACACAGACTGATGGACACCCCTACATCGACTCCAAATGTTCCGAAAAGGATTTCGTCCAAAGAGCTAAATCTAAAGCCCTTATTTCGATGATGCAGGTTTTGGTCTTATCAAATGGCATATACACTACGTAGACATATGACTGAGAGTATAAAAATTGTAAGAGATTTTGAATGTCTTTAAAAATACTCAAATACCGATTAGAGATCATCAACGTCAAAGACTACGTTAAAAATATTTTTAAAATATCTGCAAATATAAATCAGAGAGTATTTAAGAAATATTTTAGCTCTGGGAAATTATAAACAAAAATTCTTAAAAAAAATCCGCGATTTTTGCATTTGGAAATTCGCAAAAAAATCAACGATTTTAGCTCTTGAAAATTTAAAAAAAAAAAGTTTCTTAAAAAATTCACTATTTTAGCTTTAGAAAATTTTAAAAAAATTTTCTTAAAATCCAAGATTTTAGCTTTTACAAATTGTAAAAAAAATCCACGATTTATGCTCTTGAAGAACTTAAAAATATTCTTTAAAATTTTCTATTATAACTATTGGATATTTGGAAAAATATTCATAAACTCCATTATTACAGCTCTTGGAGTCGGTATAAAAAATAATTCTTAAAAAATCCACGATTATGGTCCTTGGATATTACAAAAAAATGTTTTCAAAGAATTCACGGTTGTGGCTCTTTTAGACGTTAGAAATTATCCTAAAACCCGTATTCTTAAAACTCGTATTCTAAAAACTCGTATTCTTAAGAAAAAACCTTTTTAATATTTTGGGACTTAAAATAGTATTCTTAAAAAAATCAACAATTATAGCTCTTAAAATCTTATGATACAATGAAATAATATTTAAAAATATCTCTACTATATATATTAAAATATGATCTAAAATACACGATTGTAACTTTTGAAGACTTTCGTAGACAGGATTATAGATGTTGAACTAAAAAAATATTCTTAAAAATATCTTTTAACATTGGAGACCTTTTAAATATTCTTAGAAATACGAATATAGCTCTTAAATCTTAAAAAATCATAATTAAAGCTCTTGAAGATTCGATTTGTAAACTTCAGGCAATAACCCCGATTATAGCTCTTGGAGATACGTTTATAGATCTTAGAAACTTCAAATATCCAAGATTGAAAAGATGTTATAGACTTGAAAAAAATATCCTTGGGAAATAAGAGTAAGGTTCATAAATATTTCAAAACTGCTACAAAAAAACCCTTAAATCTTTAAAAAATCTCGAAATCCCCGATTATAGCTCTTGGGGACAAAAAATGTTCTCACTAATCTGATCTCTAAAATATTTTTTAAAAATCCTCTATTAAAACTCTCAAAGACCTCCCAGGAAAAAAAAAGTCTTTCCCAATTTCTCACATTTTCCAAACCAACCGCACTCAGTTTAACACAGCGCAAGTTGTAAGGAATTCAAGTGCAACCAACAACAAACAGGTAGCTACTGTTGAAGCCATGTACTGCAGAATAAATAACTGGCTGGCTGACTGACTAGTTGACTGCGCCTGGCTGGCTCGCTGACTGGCTGGATGGCTGGTTAATCGTAACGAAATTTTAAATGTAAACAACATAACGTAGCGGTGGCTCAAGGAAGAAACACACACGAACGAGCTTGAAAACGGGCGCGAGCCAGCTTCTTTACGCGAACTACCAAACACAGGCGGAAAGAAAAAAAAAAAACCAAATGCAAGCTAATTTTACAAGTCAACCGTGAAATCATAACGTTCGACAAAACGAATTGTGAATATGGGAAATTTAAAAGTGAAAATAATGAAAGTGTGAAAGGATTTATTTGTTTATTCATGGAATGTTTTTAATCGAAAGGATAATGAGAAAATACATGAAAGTTTGCGATATTTTTTAAAGATAAAGAAAAAATTAGTTGTCATAAATTTAAAAAAATAAATATAAAAGTGAAAAAATAAAAATGCAAAAGAGAATTTTTTATTCATGTACTCTAACCCTGGCGCTAACCTTTATGTTCTGCTACAGCATAGAGGGTTTGATTTTCAGTCAAACGGATTTAAAAAATTTCGTCCAAAGTGGTGTTTGGGATGTAAATGTTTTACGCTGCATGTTAAGGAATAATCGAATATGCCCAAGTCCATACATAATGTATCGTCTATATGCACCGTAAGTGGATTAAAACTATCGAAGAAAATTTGATATTTTACTAAAAGGAACACTTTAACCAAGCCTGCAAAAGTAACAAAAAAATATCTGAATGCAAGGATACGAAAAAATTTTTTGTGGATATCGTACGTCGTAATCTCTTGGAGACTTTAAAAAAATATTCTTAAAAATCGATGATAACAGGCTTTAAAGACCCAAACCAATTTTTTTAAAGATATTCTATTTTAGCTCTTGGCAACTTTAAACATTCTTAAAAAGTCAAAAATGACTGGAAATTTAAAACAAAATAAATCTTACCAATTTAAGAGAAAATAATTATTTTTGTGTTCAATGTTAAACTTTTTTATTTATACTTAATTTTGAAATTATTGCTCTGTTCCAGAACTGAATAATTTGGACATTTTTGCTACGATAACTAATCTTTCCTTAATGACATCGAAAAAAAAATGCAAAACTATTAGATTCTTGTAAGTTCTGGAACAGAAAAATTGTATAACCAATTGTAACCGAGAACACCAAAACCATGAAAATCCTAAACCAACGACTAGACTGGAAATTGTAGAGTGTGATAAAAATCATTGTTGCGAATTCGAATTCTATTCTTTCTATCAAAAATTTTCCACCATAGTATGGAGGGCATATTAAGTTTATCATTCCGTTTGTAACACCTCGAAATATACATTTTACACCCCACAAAGTATATATATTCTTGATCAGCATAAAATTCTACGTCGATTTATCAATGTCCGTCCGTCTGTGGAAATCACTCTAGCTTCCGAACGAAATGAAGTAGGTCGATAAAATTTTACTTAAATGTGTACTATGTCTGCAGGACTTTTGTTAATGAAAATGGGCCATGTAAGTCCACGTCTTCGTATAGCCTCCATATAAGGGTACCTCCCGATATGCGGTATTTTGATGATTCTAGCAACATTTTTTTACCGGAATTGTTTCAAAATTAATATTTAAAGTTCGTAATAGATGCTACGGCTTAAGAGAGAAAATGGACCATGTAGTTACACGTCTTCGTATAGCCCCCATAAAACGATACATACCGATATTCGGTATTTTGATTTTAGCGACAATAATTACCGGAATTGTTTCAAATTTGGTATATGAAGTTTGTAATATTTACTACAGCATAAAACAGAAAATGGGCCATGTAGGTCCACGTCGTCATATAGACTCTACTATACGGCTACATTAGGTATTTTCAAGATTTTAACAGAATTTTTAACTTATTTTATTTTTTTGAAAATTGTTAGATTTGTACCAAATGGTGGAGGGTATTCAATGTACGGCCCGGCCGAACTTACAGCTTTTTTACTTTTTTTTGGGTTTTTCCGCAAGAGATTTTTATTTTGAATTACTTGATATTTCGGTATCTGTCACTTCACTTTTCCAAGTAAAAACTGCGCAATTAATAAAAATGGGAAAACACACTTATTGTAAAATATTGCAAATATTTGTGCAAATTCGAGCTGTTTGTACCATCCAGCAAAAATTATGTCAACACCAATAGTAATAACATCTGCATACCTTCTGCATTGCTAGTGGACCAAAAGTAATAGTGAGCTAAAAAATACAGACCGACTCGTATAAAATAAAGAAGTTCAAATAACTTACTCAATAACTTACGTCATTACTACGTATTTGGCATAAAAACTTGGGTTAAGCCCAAGCGGTCCGTTTGGGTTCTTGAAATAAATCCGAAATGCCATCAAAAACATCTTGACAGATGAGGCCTATTTTAACCTCAAAAAATTTAGAGTTATTGTTCGGAAACCTCGCCACCCTTAACGTGTGATTATTTGGAGGGTTTTTGGTCCAGTGGGGCCATTGGACCTTACATTTTCAAAAATTATGCCTGCTCGAATGACAGAATTAGCCACTAGATCTATTGGGACGGAATTCACTTGGCGACATTTGGAGCCGATTTCGCCAAGTGCGTTAGGCTGTCTCAGGATGACTCCGTAATAATTCGATGAAACTTTGATCGGTTCCGGAGTTGGCCTAGATTGGCTCCAGAAAGGGTCAGCATTTTGAAAGAAAATAGTTTACTTTCGAAAAAGCAAAAAATTATTCTATTTAAACTTTGCACCTATCAATATTTAAATCTGTCAGATAAGATAAAATATACGAAATCGGTATCCTCCTTCAGATAACTCCCAACCAATGGTTCAAATGTTGAATATTTATAGCTCACATAAAATGCTATATAATTAACCTAAGTGTATTTAAACTTTGCACAACGAAATCTGTATCTGATGTCCGTTATCAAATATCTTTGTTGTGGAGTGTATATAGTATCGGATAAAACATATATATGGGAACTATAGCTATATCTGAACCGATTTTCATCAATATTTGAAATACGTGCTCGTGGGCTGAATTCCGCGGGAAGTGCCACAATTCACTCCATTTGGGCTGATATTAGTCATTTGTTGCATAATAAACCGGAAATAGAATAAAGGAAAAAATGGGAGCTATATCTAAACCTATCTTGATAAAATTTGGCAGGGATGTATCTTATATGTGGTACCAAATATCATTCTTGTGTAATGTGTATTACGAATGTAAGAGACTTAAAACCCCAAATCGGATGAAACATATAAATGCGAGCTATATCTATATCTGAATCGATTTTCACCAAATTTGAAGCACTTGTTTCTAGGCTGAATTCGGTCGGAATTGCCAAATTTTAGTTCATTTGGACTGATATTAGCCATTTGGTGCACAATTAACCCGGAATCGGTTGAAGACATATATGGGAGCTATATCTAAAGTTGAACCGATTCTCATAAATTTCAATAGGGTTCGTTCTTGGGCCAAACAAATATTGTTTGGAAAATTTCATCTCAATTGGTTGAATAATGCGACCTGCATTATGTTCTCAACAAAATATGGACGGACGGACTGACATAAATAAACCGACTCAGAAAGTGATTCTATAAAGATCCTCGAGTAACTACGCTTCCTTCTCCATGTTACAAACAAAAGCACAAAGACATAATACCCTTACCACTGTGTTGTGTAGGGTATAATCGATGTCGAATTTCCTTCAAACTAAGCCCTTTCTATCTCATAACAAAACTTAAAAAAAATTTCCAAACAATATCAAAAAGAAGTATACGAAACATGGTAAAACGAGTTCTGACGCGAAATTGGAGATTAGAAGTGAAAATTGAAAATATTGGCCCACTTTCTCAAAGTTCAAATATTTCACATACATTCACAATATTCACACATAAACCGAAGAGAGTACCCGATATAGTCCAAGTTACCTGTCAAACTTGGACTATACACTCACCTCAATAGAGAAATAAAAAGTAATTTATTTAAGTTCTATAATTTACAGATATATATGAAGTTATTTTTGTATCTCTCAGATATATATGAAGTCATAACTGTTTTGGTATCTCAGATATTGAAATTATTTTTCTTTTTTTTTTTTTTTGTTACCCGTGCTGACAACATGCTTCACAATCTACAAACTCATCAAAATCGTTGTAAATTGAATTATGGTTTGATTAAACTAAGACATGAGTATCAATATAAACAATATTGCTGATCCTAAAGGTTCCTTCAATATCTCACTCATGTTGAATAAATATCCCACCGAGTGTTTAGATGTATAAATATCAACATCACAACAGATGGGGAAAATATGTAAAACAGTTTTGTTTTCTGCATTCAATGATACCATGTGAAAGTGCAGCCATCCATTCACAAAGACCATTGTCAATTTTCTGCCTTAAATCCTTCCTTGTCTAACCAAAACACAAGCGCAGATATAGCAACAGAAAAACTCTTGTTGTTGTTGTTTAAATAAATGGCCAAAACGTTTTTGGCCTCTGAATTATATCCGTTTGTCAACCGGTTAAGCGGCTACCAAATGGCTTATATACACTGGCGTCCTGCAACGTCATTATGCTGCACGAAGGTCAAATGCTAACTTAAAATAGCTGCATATAAATAGCTGAAATATTTTAAAGTGTGAGTGATTGATTAATCAGCTTAAGATGGACGATTAAATACGTGAGCGTAGCAAATTGAAAGTGTTAAAAATAAATGCCAGCAAAGAAGTTGGCTATAAAAATTGCAAGGCGTCAACGAATTCATGATGTCCTTACTTAGCTAAAAATATTAATTTGAACGGATTGTTTACCTTTTATTCTCCACCATGGGATGACTTAAACTATAACCAACAGGAGTGGTTTAAAGATATGACCTTATCCAAATTGTGAACTCATTCAATTGTGGCTAGGACACCGGTGTTGCGTTATATAGTGCAAAAAGTGGAGCAATTATCTTTTATTATCTAAACACAGATAGACAATTCATTTGAACCTTTCGGATGAAAGATGGAAATATCAAAAAAAAATTGGAGTTACTATTACAAAGAGGCTAGACTTTTTTTTTCCAATTTTCTGTGGACTGACTTTATTTCCTCTGATAACCTGATTTACATAATTTCAGCTTATTTTCAAAAAAAAATTAACAGAATGTAGGATATACCAAATAGTGAACCTATATTGAGATTTATTTCGTCAAACTGAGAACCTTATGGTAAACTTTTTGAAAACTTCGTGTTTGCGCGGCAATATTAAAATAAGCACATACAATTACGCCAAATTTGTTCCATATATATTAGCGTAGCCCGACGTCAAGGAAGTGGACGGGAGAAAGCAACAACATCAGCAGAAATGGTTCCACAAGTAAAGAAGCGACTTGATCGAAACCCGCGTCGCAGTGGCCGAAAAATGCTTCGTGAGCTGAACATATCGCAAAATTTCATTCGGCAAATATTGAAAAAAGAGCTCGGGGTTAAGCCATTGAAATTCCAAAAAGTGCAAGAACTTACACCGCAACAGAATTAAAATTGACTCAAAAGAGCTAAAGAGGCGAATTTGGTTTTCTCTGATGAAAAAACATTCGTTGTCCAGCAGTTTGTAAACAAACAAAATGATAGTGTTTACTTGCCAAGAGGTTAGCTGAAA